TACATTTAAGTGCTAAATATATTAATACCTTAATGATATATGAAGTATAAAATATAACATTCTACTAGGTACTGTGAAGATCATTATTTAATTAAAAAATAGTCTTTAAAAAAAAGAAATAAAAAAATTTTCAATATATTTGAAAATTTGAACAAAATCGTATCCAATTATGACAGAAAATTTTTATACATAAGTAATTTTTAATCGATATTCTATGCAATTTTATATTATAGTAGCGTTATTGAGTTTAACACTTAATTGTCAACCAGGCAAAATCTCAATTGATCTTTTCACTTTCCGCAGAAATACATGAAGTAAGAAATTTGAATTTAAATCTTTTTAATACGAAAGTTTCATTAATTTTAATGAATATTATTCAAATAAGAGAACTATCGAGAAAAAAAAAATCAAATCCTTGTACTAGAAGTAAAAAAAAAAAAACACAAAAACGCAGTTTTGTAATTCCTTCAATAATAGATAAATTATTTTTAAAAAAATTTTGTTGCATGCTCAAATCTAACATCACAAGGTAGTTTAATTGGTTTGAATCAAGAAAACTCTAGAATGGTAGTCTTATATGAGTATCATTGTATTAATTAAATAAATCATTTTTATTTCAGAAGTATTATGCAACAAAAGACAAATTAAAATAAATAAATCATTGTAATTATTTCCAATGGCAGGTGTTATTTCTTATTGACAAATGACTTGCAACTAATCCCTCAAAACAGTTATCATGATAATGAGCCAATCAAGAAAGACAAATTCTCCAATTATAATCCACTCAAGTTACAAATTTTTCTTTCATATCAATTAATTATGTGACCAAAATGTCTTTATCAATTAAATTTGGATTAGATTGAATTAATTGTTTCTTGTTGTCACTTGAATGTGGGTCAATGACCCTTTCTTTCTTTCTCTCTTTCTTTTTCTTTTTTTTTAAAAAAAAAAAAAAAAAAAAAAAAAAAAAAAAAAAAAAAAAAAAAAAAAAAAAAAAAAAAAAAAAAAAAAAAAAAAAAAAAAAACAGAGCTACATAGTCTTCCATACACAAAATTAATAATTGATAAGAGAAAAAAAAAATTATATTAGTGCCGCCGTGATACAGGTTCTCACTAATACCGATCAAATTAATTAATTTTGATTGATTTTCAATTCTTTATTAGAAAAACAATCGCCTTTCAACATTTAATTCCTTCTATTGGTCCAAGTTGCTTCATTTCTTTCAAATAGATTTCTTTGCTTTACAACATTATTTATTTTGTAGCACCAAGTGTCCAATTGGCATTGTTCAAACTTTTATATTTTTCAATCTTTAATTTCTCATTTGGTTTATCTATTCAGCAATATTATTTAAAACTATATATAAACACTTTATTTAAAAATATTAGACTCTTAGTGGCTTGATTGGTGAGTGGAAAAAATTCAAATTCTTTAAATAAGAAGACGATTATTCAATTCTTATAAATGAAAAAAATCAATTTTCGCTAGGAGCGCTTACTTTTATGGATCTGACATAGCGCAAGCAGAATTAGCCTAATAGACTAAGAAAATCTGTAGTTTTTAATAAAGTTAAAAGGAAATCTTATCTTTTATTATACATGTTAATTCTTATCAAAATTAGGAACTGTTTTCTATCAAGTATGCACCTTTTAATCTTTTTATGTTTTCAAGAATAACAAGAGGGAAAAGTTTCAATTGGAGTCCTCTCCAAAATCGAAAATTCATTAATTTGATAAACGTAATTTAAAAGGGAAGACTATCTCCTACTGCTTAGTCCATATAATATTTTATAACGTTATACGCCATAATAATGTTATATAACTATTGGTTGAATACATAAATTTACCCTTGTACTCATAAAAATTCTTATAATACGCTCAACTTTTGTTCTGACTTATTGAACGCTTCAACTTATAAAATTATACCTATTAAATACTTCATTTGACCCATTGAATACATTAACTTATAAAATTAGAACAATTAAATACTTATTGAAAATTTGGAAAATGTAAAATTATTGTTCCAAAAGTTTTATTAATCACGTATCAAATTAATATTTTTTGCATATAAAAGTAAAAATGCCTTAAAATTTACTGTTTTTAGTACAAAGAAGTGTGAAATTATTATAGAAAAATAAAGTTCAAAGTGTCACAAGATCGGTTTTATAATTCATGATGTCACAAGATTTTTTTTATCAAAGTTTAGGGGTTAAATGTTGTATTCGGCCTATGAGTATTATAGAAAAGATAGTCCCTCTATCCCAAAAAGATAATTCATGTTTTATAACGCTATAAAAACAATGATATATAACGTTATACGCTTTCTATCTCAAAAAGATAATTCGTATTTTTTGTTTGATTTGTTCTAAAATATAGTCTACTTTTCTTTTTTGCATTATAGTTAACCTTTAAATTGTCTACTGTACCCTTATTAAATTTTATTTTATTTTTAATAATCCTCATTAATTTTTACTTATTATTTCAATATAATAATTGTACCCTTATTAAATTTTATTTTATTTTTAATAATCCTCATTAATTTTTACTTATTATTTCAATATAATAATTGCTCATATGTTATTTAAGATGGGATAATAAGAAAGTTATATGGATAAAATTATCCTTTACCATGATAATTATTACTCCCTCTCGTAAAATATAAGTCGTTTTTTATTTGTTATTTTGTTTCAAAATATAAGTCCTTTTGTGTATTTCAAGAAGTAATAAATGATGTTTTTCTAATATTGCCCTTGTTTGTGTTAAATACAATAAATACTTCACAAGCAAATATTGATTTTGAGATAAAGGATAATTTAGTCACATTCTCTTTGAGTTTGTTATAATTTAAGAGAATTAATTGTTTACTTAATTTTTGGTTGAAAATCTAAAATAACTTATATTTTGAGATAGAGAGAGTATTTCTTAACCTCGTGTGAAAATAAAAAGTGAGTTTTTTTTTTTTTTAGGGAGTATGACACAAGGTGAACTTGAAAGCTAGATGATAATATGTGACTCAGAAAATTTCTTTTTTAAATAATAAAAAAATGTCTTTTAAAACCAAAACTTACAGTTCTGGTCATGATAAGATCAACTGGATATTTCTATTGGAAAATGATAAAATCATATCACTTTGTGTGCGAAATTTCAGCTGAGATGTTTCAATAATTGTAAAAATGGGCCAAAGACCAGCATTATGCCATCTTGACAGGGGTGAGAGTCAGATATCACGTGCCTAAAAACCTAAAGGCACGTTTTTTTTGTGCAGACAAGAGGGTGAAGTATCATAATCCACAGGTCACTGGAAACAAAAATTGAACAACAAAATAGACCTTTGTCCTTCATCTATGCTATAATTCTATAAACTGGATTATATGAAAATGCTAATCTTTTCCCATCAATGTGGAAATTGCAATTATGAAAGGTTAGATTTTATCAAATGACCACGATAATAAAATGATTTTATCATTTATAATACTTCGTTGCGTATTCAAATTATCTGCTGAGAATTTTAAATTAGCCAGAATTTAAGGGATGAAATAACTTCACTCATTATTGTTATTATTTTTTTAATTTTGTTATTTTCATTGGAAATAATAAAAAAATTTCCAAGATTTTTTCAATTTTTTGTTTGCTTTTTTTTTTTTTTTTTTTTTTTTTTTAGCTCTTTTTTTTTTTTTTTTTTTTTTTTTTTTTGATATTGTGCTCTTTTTTATGGGGTTCAAAAATTGTTTTCTTATTTTGTTTGTATGTCATGTTTGTTAGTTTTGATATTTTGAATAGGAATAGGACCACAAATCCACAATACTGACCTGAAGAATCCACAAAATAACCCTCCAAATACAACGCTACCACTAGTTATTATGTCAAATTAATGTTTTTGTCACCACCAATTTTTCTTTTTTTTTCAAAATTTTAAACCCAAACATCAAATTCTAAAATTGAAAAAACCACTGTACGATTTCTATGATTTGCAAAATACAATTAGTTCGACACTGTATTTTTTTTTTTTTAAATTATAGTCTTATAAAATCATGAAAACACTCATTTTATCACTTCTTACCTTTGGATTCTATTCGGAAGAGCATTTGGGGTAGTGTTTAGTGTTTTGATAGGGTTAAAATATTGTTTTAATTAATTATTGTGTTTGATAATATTACATTTATCCTAACATTTAGAGTGTGAGATAATGTTTCATGAAACGTTATCCTCATTAACGTTTAATATTTTATAAATTTTTTATAACGTTTATGCCCACTACTTGTCATTGCTTTGTTCACTATGACCTTTCCATTTTTTGTCTTTTTATATTAAAATGCTAATTAAACATTTATTTTTACCAAACACAGCTAATATTTAATTGCTAACTGTTAGTAGAACACCTAACAGCTACTACAACAGCTAACATCTACTAGACCCGTTAAAATTGCCAAACATGCCTTTGGTATATTTTTATAAAGCGATGAAAAATCCATTTTATCACTTCTTTTCCTTGGTATATTTTTATAAAATTACGAAAAACTCTTTTATCTTTTCTTACCTTAGTATATTTTTCAAAACATAGATCGACTAGTTGCTCATGCTATAATTTTTAAAAATTATATGAGAATTACGTAAAACATATCATTTTTAGTTATTCATGCTATAAATTAAGCTCATTTATTTTTTCTTTACTTCTAATAAATATAAATAAATAATTATAAAAATAAACAAATAATTTCGGAGACCAATCCATAAAGTTCTATATTTATATTTATACAGAAGATTACATAATAAAAAATTTTAAAAAATTTTGGGTGCTCCCTTATGGCCCTAAACATCAGAATCTCGACCTTGATTCCTAAGATTTCTTGTACCCTTCTTTGTTGGGCCAAATTAAACAACATGCAGGGAGCCAGGTGCCCAAAATATATTCCCAACTTCTTAGTCATGGCCCGCAAAATAGCATTTTTCTGCCAAAATGTTACCCATAGCATCTCTCATCAGCAGTAAAGATTCAAAAATAACTGCTCAAACTAGAAGAATTACATTGATCATTTCATGCTTAGATATAGAACTATCATTGAAGAAAATTTACGGCATACAAATTAAAGTGTGAAGACCCAAAGTTCAAAATGACTACTAAAAAAAAAAAAAATCTTTCCCCAATTAAACACTATCACCAAGAAGCCAAGAGAAGCCCCATTCATCCCCCAGGAAGGAGATGATCTAAAAAAAAAAAGATTCAATTATCAGGTGATTATAGATAACATCAGTGTTCAAAACAATGAGGTTAATCCCCCTCCCCAAAGCTTTTTATACTTATCAGCTGTCACTGCCTACTCTTCTTTGTGCTGCAAGAGGGGCATTTGTACTGCTTGATCATTTCGGCCTTGGCTGGGGTTATCTTCACACATTTTCCATGGTACCACCTTTCACATACATCGCAACCGATCCAAAACTCGTCAGCACTGTAAGTCCCTCCACAACTCCCACAAAGGGTCTCACCATGCTCATCTTCATCTTCTGCATAACTTTCATCAAGTAACTTTGTATTTCTTACTTGGCCATCTATTGTTCTCTGCAATGAAAAAATGAGTTGTAAAACCAACATTATTCAGTGAAAATGATGCTTTTTAACCAAAAAAACTAAATAATAAAAAAAGATTGAGTTGCTTCATTGTATTGGAGGGAGAGAAAATTCACCTTTGTGCTGTTCCTGGATTTGCTTCCACTATCTATGCTGGGTTTATCTTTTACTGGCTTCCTTCCAGTAACAACCTCAAAGAGGGTGGGCAAGTCATTTATTAGGCTAAACAGACGCTTCCTGTTGAGCAAAAAGCATACCATTGCATTGGAAACAAAAACATTCATGCATGTGAAGAAGAATGTATACAAATAAGAACACTCAAAATATGGGTAGTAGCCTCCTCATCGTCACACTGACTATTAACCTAAATAAAATTGAGGGGGGGAATGGCAAACGAGAAGAAGGGACCCATTGACAACACAAAGAACATAGCATCCAACAATGGAAAAACCAGATGATAAGGAGTGTCCAACTAAAAGAATAATCTAACAAGCTATGAAGAACATAATCCTCTATAAATGAAAAATTTATTTGAATTATGGAGATGACCAAGACACCAAACAATTATCAAGGGTTGCACATTAAATTATGCCCCTCAGAAAAACAAAAGTTTCCTTTGTAACTTAGTCTCAAGTTCTTTTCAAGTTCACCCGGAACTATGTGCTTGTGCTGTTATAACATCCTAGGCAGCTTGAACCAAAATAAATAGTATCTCAGTCCGAAAATATGAGACAATGAGATATAAAACAATCCAAAAGCCCAAAGAATATTTATTTAAAGGGAAATTTTGAGATAATCAACCCAATCCCAGTTCTGGAAGTGAACTTCAGGACAAGTATGCTTACAGGTTTGTGATGAAGAGCTGGACTCTGCTATTTTCTAAAATTTCACAGATCGATATACTGATTTAAAGCGTCAAAGTGCCCTACCTGTATCTAAGTGTGCTTAATAAGCATGATTATTTAAAGATGAGGAAAAGAATACAAGTAATCTATATAGGACTAAAGTTCTTGTTTGCTGTCCTTTGATACACTCATTTCTTTCTTTATCCACAGGTCTCTTTTCCTATCACAAAATCTTTTGTAGAACTAAAGACAACCTGCCTAGTGCCTATCCTCTAGCATTCAAGACAGGATAGTGCAACTGTAAGCGGTCCTAGATGCACCCAGAATTTCCATCACATAGTGGTCCACAACAATAAAGGATAACCACGTCATAATATGAGCATTTCTTTTCCGATACATGTGATACATGAGGTAGATAACCTAAAAGCACATGCCACTGTCTATAGGCATTGCCTACATATTAGCTATGTTGCCAGCTCCAACTCTTATGATAATAATATGAAGCAACAAACTCCATTGCTTTATTGTCAGATGACTCAAATATAAAGCTATGTCAATTATCAAGATCAATATCAAGTCTGGGCTACTACTGTCATCTATAGGTGTGATAAAATGGACAAAACCTATCCCATATGAACGGTGAGTAAATACTAATCACAAAACTAAAAAAATTGCCAGCATTATGTACAACATCACATACACAGTTCCATGACTAACTGACAATGACAATAGTACCAGCAAACAGAGTGTTGAGATGAAGCCCAACTAAGGATCACAATGGAAGTGGTGAATTGGAGCTGGCATGAGAAGCCTGGTGAAAGATCTTAAGGACCTACATCCTCACTTAAATCACGAACTCAAGATTATTTAGAAAAACTAATTTGGCACATAATAAAGTAGGTTTATGCCCTGAACATGGCAACAATTTTTAAGCAAATAAACTATTGAACAACTCACAGTAGAGAGAAGGCAAGAAAATTAAGCAAATAAACAACGGGACACATAATTACAAAATTGAATAACATTTTATTTTGACTAATCGAGTTAAAACAACATGATATTCTATAATGCTCTCATCAGGCATCTAACTAGAAAATAATTAGGGCTGGAAATTAGATAAGCCGCTCGTGAGCTACTCGAGGCTCAGCTTGGTAAAAGCTCGCTCGAGCTCGGGTCATTAGCTCGCGAGCCAGCTTTATCGAGCCGAGCTCACGAGCTAGTCTTATCGAGCTCACGAGCTAGCTCAATAAGACAAAATTGATTAAAACCTATATTAAAACAACGTCGTTTTGGTTAATAGATTTCGAGCTCAAGCTCCAGCTTGGCTTATTTATGGTTATCGAGCCGAGCCCATTTCGAGCTCGAACCTGGCTATTTTTAAACGAGCCAAGCTTGAGCTCAGATTTCCGAGCTCGAAACGAGCTCGAGCTCACCAAAGCTTGGCTCGTTTACAGCCCTAAAAATAATTTTAAAACCAATACTGTGAAATCAACCAAAAGAGGCAACAGCATTTTGTGTCAAAATGCAAAAGCCAACTTTCAACCTCACAATTCACAGTGTTTTGTAACCTCAAAATAATATAAGCAACTTTCACTCTCACCCAAATAAGGATATGTATTCATATTCAAGAAGCAAGAAAGTTTATCAAAGTCAAACCCTGTAGCACTATGTCTCTTGGTGAAAAGAGGAACTAGTAACAATATAAGAAGAAGTGCAAATGGAATTTTGCTACACAGACTAGCAGATATACATTTATTTGTTAGGTATTGAAAGAACTCAAGAAAAATCGCAGTTTCTCTGGTTTGTTGATTCTCAAAAGTGAAAAAGAAACAGGGAAAAGAGATGACTTTTTTTATGTTTTTTAAATTTGGCTATAAGTTTTGCTAGTTCTCTTTATATTATTTATATTAAACAACAGATTTTCATACTATGATGAGAAGGTGTAACTAATGCATTAGATTTTTCATTAACTGCCAAATAGCTGATTTAGCGTAGCCCTTACTACTATTGTCTTTGACACATGGTCATAAATTGCAGACAGGATGTTCATGATCCATTGTTTTCTTTTTTTTTTTTTTTTTTTTTTTTTTTTTTTTTTTTTTTTTTTTTTTTTTTTTTTTGCCAATAGCTTGATTTAGTCGTAGCCGCTTACTAGCGTGATTTCTTTGACACTATGGTCATTAAAATTGCAGACAGGATGCTTCCATGATCCATTGTTTCTTTTTTTTTTTTTTTTTTTTTTTTTTTTTTTTTTTTTTTTTTTTTTTTTTTTTTTTTTTTTTTTTTTTGCGTTCTCATGGAGGAGTTTTAACTCGTCTCAATGCAAAATGTTTTACCATGTATGAACTCTATAGTTCATGTTAATTACTCTTTTAACATGCAATGAAGCCGCTTTCCAATAATAATAATAATAATAATAACATTAAAACAGCAATTATTTACATACTGCACCTTTCATGTAATAATATATGAGTTAATGATACTATCAAAAGAAAAGAATTCAGTGTTTTCAAGGTCCAAATTCATAATGATGTGATTTCTTGAATTCTGTTGAGAATGATATTATACAAAAATGCTTCTAAGTTGTGTCAAATTTTTCATGAATTCCCACCGTAGTATATCCTAAGAGGCAACGCTAGATCAGGTAGTGACCAAACAATAGTTTTGTAGGGAATAGCAAAAAATAGACTCTCATCATTTTTGCAACTCAGTACACAGGAACAACATCATACCTTTCATTGCGGTTCAGACGAGCACCAAAGTAGAATGCTACAGAAAGCAACCAAGAGTCACTATGCACTGCAACAAGTGAAAGCCAATCTTTGCGAAGCATCCCATCTCTTGCAAAATTGATGCCCAATGCTGGCTCTGGGAGCTCGGGTGGAACTTCCTCTGCTGGCAGATTCACCTCCCATGACTCATTTGGGTGACCATACAAACAAAGATTTTCCTTTTCTGAGAGATTATAGAGGGGAATTCAGGGTGTTAGGTAAACAAGTAAATCAAACCAAGAAGAATCCTAGTAAATAGCAAGAATTAAAATTCAAAAGATCCGTAGTCAGTTAAAAATATAAGAAACCAAAAGCTCCCCCCCCCCCCCCAACTTCAAAAGATCCGTAGTCAGTTAACAAATATAAGAAAACCCAAAAAGTCCCCCGCCCCCCCCTCCCCCCCCCCCCCCCCTCTCTCTTTTGCATCTCCAATATCAGTAATGAAGAACTCATTTAGCACTCAGATCAAAAACAAATACTCCTTTCTGATAGATAAATAAATTTGCATTTAATTGGTAAATAAAATTCAACAGAAATTCAAATACACTTTAAAGGCTAGAAAGTCACAAATAAAGATCACAAAACTTGAGAACCGACAACAACAAAACCTCCATTTGGTCTCCAAAGATTATTTTTTTTATACTGATTAAAAAATGTAACGGCCTTCTACTGAAAGCACACTATGCCTACATTTCAAATACACCCAAACGGCATCAAAACAGAAATTCCCAGCTAACAAATGCAAGTTTAGCTTCATCAATTTTATTTTTCACACAAAGAGTGCAGGAATCAAACCTGGATCGCATTGAGAGTAGAATTCATCCACATCTGATAATACAAAAAAAAAAAAAAAAAAAAAAAAAAAAAACCAAAATTAAAACAAACAGACATGTATAAAAAGACACATGCAACGCAAAAAAAGAGGAAATGTAAAAAAAAAAAAAAAAAAAAAAAAAAAACCAAAACCAAAATTAACAAACAGACATGTATAAAAAGACACATGCACGCAAAAAAAGAGGAAATGTCAGGTTTTAGATACCGTAAGTAAGAGCCCGAACAAGACCAGAACGGCGTGCGCTATAGTCTTTAAAGATCTCTTCTACAGTGCGAGGACTAGAAGAGATTGAAGCCATTTACATGCATAAATTTGATTTAAACGTATTTAGAAGAAAAAAAAAAGGAAAATTAGAGCAAACGGATCGGATAAATGAAGTTAGGTTTTCTGAAAAAAATTGCAGAGAAAGGAAGCTGTTGATGAAGAGTATTGATTAATACAAGAGCCGGGCGTTTAGGAAGAAAGAGGGAGAGAGATAGAGAGGCAAGACGGTGCAGGAGAGAGAAAGAGCCAAAGATGTTAGTGTTGTGTCAGTTTGGTGTCAGCGACAAGCTTTGTTAGCGAGAAGAAGATTTGGTGGACTTCACTTTTGGGCCTATCTAACCTAAGGTTTGGACTCTTAAAAATTTTCTTCTACATACTAAAACAAATTGAAGTGTTATTGATTTCTTTAATATGGTTTGGAAATTACTTTGACCTATGCAAAGAAAATCAAAATGTAAAAATAAATTTTAATGATCTACGACAAATATTTTTTAGGGATGAACATGATTTTATTCTTAATTTTTGACATAATTAACTATTTTGTCTTTATATTTTAAAAATTATATCATTTTATTCTTATAATTTTTCGAAATTATATTATTTTATTCTTATAATTTGTCTCCGTTAAATAAAATTATCTTTCCATTTATTATTTGATATTTAAATCGTTAATGGATCCAAACTACAAAATAAAATAGTATAATTTTACAATACAAATATAAAATAGTTAATTATGTCAAAATATAGATAAAAATATAATTTTCCCTATTTTTTAACAGTGTTTTTTTCCCTCTTCAAATAGTTAAATGGATCACACACTTAATGGCTTGCCTTCTTGAGCAACAGGCCTACCCTAACCCAAATAGTTCGGCATTGTAAGAATTTTGGACATTGGCCCATTACTTATTCTTTGGGTCCATATCCATTTTTTTTCTTATCAAGGACCCATAAAGCCCAAAAACTGACGGACAATCCATCAAGCAACTAACTCGGAAGATATCTATTCAACAATTTTACATGTTTTAACAGTAGATTTTTTTTTTTTTTTCTTTCTTTTTTTGGTTTGTATATCATAGGTCTCCCGGTCCATTGATTAGGTCTAATCTTGTTCACGTTGCATTAGACTCATAGAGAAGAAACGCTGCTAGTGAAGATTTTTTAAATGAAAAAGGCCCACTTAGACTCGATGTATCAGTCAATCTATACATCAAACCAATTTAAACAATATTTTAGTTCAAAAGAAGGTATTTTTGACCATATATTTTTAATTGGTTTAGCTACATACACTTGATGTAGATAAAATATTTTCTTTGTCAAATTTTCTTTTTCGATTCACAAGGATGGAAACATCTTACTTAAGGAATTTGAGTACATTGACAAAGTCCATGAAAATAAGAACCTTTTAATTATTCCAAATTGGCGATGGTAAGTTGTTTAATTTTTATTTTATTAAAAATTTTTAAGTGTCATTTAATATTCATGTATTGATTTTTCTATTAATGCATTAATTTTGTGTGATATTTAATATTAGTGCCAATTGATAGCCATTTAACTTAAGCAACGACAGGTAGTTTGGAGGGAACTGATGCAACAAGGAAACACCTGATTATGTACTGAAGTAGACAAAATATCACACAAGCACTAACAATAAAATTACACTTACCAATTAAGGTTAGCTCAATTGGTAATATCTGCAAGTAATCCCCATTTAGAGATCACTGGTTCAAAATGTAGGCCCTTACCCCAAGAAGAAAGAAGAAACAATTATACAAAATACACAAACCTAACCTGCAAAAACAAAAGGGTTACTAGTTTTCTAATGCTACTTCATATATCTACCTACAAGAGTTGCCCTTTCTTGAGGCATCAGTTCAAAATAATTTTTGAAGGAAGTTGAACTCCTGGTTTGTGCTCCTCAAAAAATAGGCTTTTGCAGGCAACAATTTTCACAATAGAATGAGTAATTAGATTATACCTTTCAACAACTTCCATAAATCCTTTGCTAAGTACTTGCTCCACCCAATCCTCCACCACTCTTTTCTGATCAGATAAATATCCTGCTGCAAGTAATTGCTCGATGACTTTAGATTCGATGTCCAGTAAACATTCTGAGCCAATGATCTTGTGGAAGCTCTGGTTGATCTCATTAAGTATTGTACTAGCAAGAGCATCAAAATCAAAAGGCTTGAAGACCACTGTTCTGTCTACCTGATCAAAAAAATCCTGCAACCAAGTCTTTGGGTTACTAGACGTGGAGTCATTATCAGGTTTTCCATCATCGGTGACCTGAATGTCATTCTCTTCGGCAGGAAGGTTCAAATCTAGATTCCTAGTAGGTATCTTATGTGCTCGTTTAACCATTTCTGATATTTCATGCTGTTCTAGATTTTGATTTGCACCAATCAGCTTCCTCTTATTCACCAAGATGGAACTAGAGATACCTTTTTTCAAATATTGACCCATTTTATCCATAGGAGCTTGCTCAATTAATATCTGCATTGACCTACCCTTTGCTTTCACTATTCTGTCTTCAGAATAGGTAGAGAAATCTTTCTTGGGACAGAGAAGTTCATTATCCATGAATGTTGAAGTTGTCACAAATATAGCGTTGTTTATTGCAACTTCTCTTCCATGTGAATCTGAAAATTTACCAGTCTGAATAGCATAAGACAAACTATTCTGAGCCTGAACATCAGCTTTATCTACATTTTCAAGAAAGACAACAGACAGGGGCTTCTTGCACAGCTCCCCAGCAACATAATCAATAGCAGTCTTCCCTCTACGCGTTACATAGTAACCATGCACTCCTTGGCTGTGCGCATCGATTCTCCCATCTGGCAGACTCAAATCTGCAGATATTAAGTTTTCCTTGCTGCTATATATTATCTCAGCCAGGGCAGCAGCAATTTTCTTCTTGCCACAGCCATCAGGTCCAAGGAAATTGAACCATATGTCCCGTCTTAGACCTGCTCCTTGGCGTCTTTCATTTCTTGTCCTGCAATGGGCTATTGTTTGGCTGATAATACGAACAGCTTCATCTTGCCAGCTAACTTTCTCAGTGAGTGCTCCAAAAAGCATCTTGAAACTACTAGGATCAAATTGCTCCCCAAAATCAAGAGAAGAAGATGATGATGATGATTGCGCCAGATGATCAATTTTTGCCGAACAGGAACCTGATAAGTCTTGTGGAAGCTCTATATGATTTTTGTTAGCAGGTTTCTTTGGCCCATCACTGGTAGGTACAGGACTCATTCTCAAACCCAATTCTGTAGTTATAGAAGTGACAGATGTAGGAGATGCTTGACTGACATCAGCCACGCTTGAATGGGAAAAACTACAAAGAGATCTGAGACCAACTGACTCCAGATCTTCTTTTGAAGGTTTTTCCCATTGTTTAGGCTGGGTGTTTGCCTCAGAAACTACAGGTAAAGGAATATTCAAATGCTTTCCCGAAATCTTGTGCAAATCAACGGGGACATTGATGCATCTACTTTCATTCGTTGGCGCATTTGTATTGTTGCTGCTACACTTTACAGCACCTTCCTTTTTGTCTTCAACCAACTGAAAGCCCACAACAGTTGGAAATTTGGAACGATGAATGTTTGACCCAGGTGATTGAGTGTGATGAAGACGCTGGCATATGTTATCCCATTTTTTTTGCAGGCCTGCAACTTTGGCACTCAATACCACTCCATCATCTCTTGTCTGCACTGAAGAGAGAGAAACTAGTTTTTACATGGATATGGAAAATATTTTTTTATAATTTCATTGCTGATAGATCAAATATATTATAAGCCCATTTCCATGACATAACCATCAATTCCTTCCATGAATAAAATTGCTACCAGTTTCTTGTCCAGATTACAAATATAGTTATATTTGGCGGACCTTACTTTTTAGGCCAAATGCATATAGCTACACAAATTTAAGATTTCCATAAATGGATGTTAGCCTACAACAAGCCTCAATGCAATCACATGAGATGAAACCTGACAAAGATTTAAATGCAATTTGTGGGTTCATGAATTCTATTTTCTATAAGGGCCAGTAAGAATCAAAAAGTTACCTAAATATCCAGTCGCAATTTCAGATATTTGAATCAACCGCGATACCAGGTTTACATACTTGATCAGTATTTCAGTCACTTCTAGTTAACAGAAAGAAACAAATCCTATTTGAAGAGATGTATAAAAGTGAAACGAACCTTCACATCCAATCCCTTGTTTGTCCCAAGTTCAGCCATTTGTAACCAAGAAGGTAAGTTGGATTGGTAGTGATCTGCTACTGAAGCGATGGGTCCACCCTTAGAAACAGCAAGTACTTCTTGTTCACATTTTTCGTTACACAAACGACATCGAGATATGCACTGGTAAGAGTTGCTTAAAGAGCTATTCAATTCTGCTGGTGTAGAAAATAACCCACCAAATGGAACAAATGATTCCATCAAGCTGCAATTATAACATAACTGTGAGAAAACTGGGTATAAGATCATTGGAGATTACAATGAACACCATAGAAAAGAGAATATAGGCCAAGAATCCGATTGGATATGTTTTTATATGTAAAACATACACCTTGACTGTAAAATTACTAAGGTAGATATCATTTCATAAGCGATCAAGATCAGAGCAGGAATATGTTCAAGGTAACTCATTGTAATACCCTAATGTCAAAACTAATTGTAAAACTCATCTAAATTCATGATCCAGCAGGGGAGAAAATTTTGATTTCTAGCTAGTGCAATTACAAGCAAGAATAAGGCAGTTCAAAGTACAACCACAACAAAGAATAAGGCAGTTGAAATATATTCTATTATCTAAAAACTTCTGTGGACACAATTCACAAACTCTAAATATTGGGTCTTTAAATTATTTATATAGATACCATGAAAAGCTAAATCCCTGTACAAAACAACTAAGAATATATATTTTGAAATACAAAACAATGTACAATCTTTCTAAATTTGAAGCTATAACATCATAACACACTAATTTAAGTAGATAATGCTTGGAGGACCATTCTTACAGAAGTCCAAGTTGGAGATATATATATATATATATATATATATATAACCACACTATTTTAAGTAGAATAATGCTTGGAGGAACCATTCTTTAAACAAGAAGTCCAAGTTGAGATATAATATATATAATATATATTATTATATATATACACACATATATACACACACACACACATACACACACACACATACACACACACTAAACCTCTTTTATATTCACTAACAAACAAAACATGTCCCCTAATAAAAAAATTATGCCAGACTCATCCTCTAAGCAGAACAACCAAATTGTCTTGAGTCAGAACTACGAACAAATAACTTATATGCATACTTGTAATATACATATAATAAAAGAGTTCTGAAAAGTAACAATAAAAGGCAAAGAGAGACCACTTCACCTTGACCTAGGGTAAGATTCAGCCATGGAATCTCTGAAAGCGGTGATAGGCAAAAGCTGCAAATCCCAATCCTTTTCAATGGAAGGAAATCTGCTAACAAACTTCAAATAACCTTCATAACTTGCTGTTGAACCTATAAACCACACTTTCTTGCTATGTAAAAGCAAGAATTTTTTCAATTTTTCAACTACGTATGTTACTGAATCACTCAAACCATTATCATTTTCAATATTAACAAACACTTTCAAGTCCCCAAGATTCACTATCATTCCCGGTCCTAACTTTTGCTCCACAACCCGACCCATTTCTTCAAACCTCAAATCTAAACGCCCTTTATCTAAATTTTCGTTTATGAACTTTGCAATATCATTTTCAACGCAAGTAACAGATATTCCAGTTAACTCAACAGGCAAAATATTATCTTTTCTTTTCTCTATTGCTTCACTAAAACTTGCAAGTGTATCATAAGCGCATACACCAACAAGCAGAGGATTTTTGTTCCTCACAAGAACCTCACTTATCCTCCGAGAGTTCTCATCTCCATTAGAAAACCCAGTATAACCAGGGAAAGGAAAGCTAAATCCTCTCCGACCCGACCCAAAATCCGGATTATCACTCAAGTTGCAGAGAAACATAGGTGGCCCTTTAAAACGGGAGAATTTGAAAACCTGAGGAAGAGGCCGTATAATAGCGAGCTTGATTTCGGAGCTCCGAAATCCTGCTTCGCCAAAAACCCGACTCACAACCGGGTCATCGAGGATCGATAAAATCAAGTTTTGGAGCTCCACTTTTATACACGACATTGAAGTGGATGATTGCTGCTGCTGTGCAATTTGATGATATAAATGGAAATTCTCCGGTTGCCTTCTCTGGTTAGCCTGAGACCTTTTTATCGCCGCCATAAGCGAGTTCGAAACCGGCGGGTCATCTGTAAGCTGACTAGCTGGAACTCGGTCAAGCGAAACACTAAGACAAAGCTCGAGCGCCTTGAATTGTAGCCGAGACGAATAGGCTGAGTTCCTTGCACGCGCACAAGCGTCGCGTAGAATCGATGAAGGAAGAGATAGCAAAGCGGAAATGGCATGAAGTGACGTCGTTTGTCCATGTCCTCTCCGGCGCGCAACACTCACTGCCTCATCTAGCGCGTGAGCTGCTTCTGGTGTCAAGCATTGCCTGGCTGTACTTACCGGCGTAGGCATCGCCGGTAATAACGTTAAAACAAACAAAAATATCTGTTACAAGATTGTTATGTCTGTTTTTTTTTTTTCCTTCCTCCTTTCTTTTTTTTATATTTATCTTTGTTTATTCAAAGAACTAAACAAAACAATTTTTATAAGATAAGAGAGAAGTAAAGGTTTAAGCTTTTTCTTTCATGTTTCTTCTCAAAAAAAAAAAAAAAAAAGCTTTTTCTTTAAAAAAAAAAACCAGAGAGAATAAAAAGGGTTGTTTAGTATGAGACTTAAAAATAAATAAATAAAAAGCTTAAATATTGGATGAACACGGGTACTGGTGGTGGTGATAGGGTGCTGGAGTGGTGGTGATGGTGGTGGTGGGGTGGAGGAAACGTGGGGCCGAGTGATGAAAGAGGTGGAGATAAATAGGTGGTGAGTATAGATTCCATATAATCTAAAGATCTTTCTTGTGTGTGAGTGAATGAGAGAGAGACAATGATATCATCAAAAGCTTGTTAGAGAGAGAAAGAGATGCTGTGTCCACTTACTTACAGTGGGCCAATATTGACAGTCAGCGTCACTGTCTGCTTACGTGTAATTTTATATTATTAAAAACATTAACTTGATGGAGGAGTCAATGAGTCAATAAAACGAGTTGACTCGGTCGTGCCTCAGGTCAACTCACTTTCACTTGTTTTTTTTTTTTTTTTACACTTACAGAAATTGTATTTAGATAAAGTCATTTTAACAGTCGCGATTTAAGATTTTAAATTCTTAATTTTTGGGAGATACAATACATTTTTGTTGATTAGTGTTGGTTTCATTTGTTTTCCTTTAAATGGATTGATAAGGCAATTAAGTTTAGAAGGATAAACGAATCAAATCAAGTTTAAACCTGCAAAACTTAAAGTTCGTGACTTGATTATATTTAAAATAAATATTATATATATATATATAACTTGCAAAACTTAAGTTGTGACTTGATTATATTTTAAAAATAAATATTTAATAATATATATATATTATATATTCCGAAAAGTTTGGAAAAATTATATATTCGAAAAGTTTGAAAATTTTAAAATTGAACATCATTGGACTCAAATCATTTGCTAAATTTGCGGGTTTGAATTTATTTGAGCCAAAGCTTTTTCAAATCAAATTCGAAGCCGCCTCAGCTGATTTTTATTTAAAGTTTTGGAAGTGGAAGATGAGACTATTTGATAGTGTCTTATTGTTTTGCCTAACTAGGTTAATTAGTTAGTTGATATTAATGAATAAAAAGTGTTTTTTTACCCTAAACAAGATCCTGAGATTAGTTCTAAGCTCTTTAGTAATCAAGAATGAATCCTAGAAAGAAATAATTGCTAATCATCATAATATTTGACTAATTTTTATTAATTAGGCAATAATAAAAGATAATCTATCTTGGTCTTATGATCATGTTCTTTCTTTCCCTCAACGCATTTCAATTCTCCTTTTTCCATAATATTTGTGGGGAGTTTTACCCTAAAATATGCATAGTGTAGGTTTTGTTTCTTTTGGCTCTGCCTCCCATATGATATATGCAAAAAAAAAAAAAAAAAAAAAAAAAAAAAAAAAAAAAAAAAAAAAAAAAAAAAAAAAAGATTCAAATTATAAAAAAAAAAAAAAAAAAAAAAAAAAAAAAAAAAAAAAAAGATTCAAATTATAATCTTATAGGTTTTTATACTAAAGTCACAATCTTGAAAGTTTAAGAAATAATTTTAATACGTTATCATATTTTTTGTGCCTCCTAATAAACTATCATATATCATAATTTTATTTAAGACTGCATTATAAATTAATTGAATTTAATTGTAATTTTTGATTTAAAATTGATTAATTAAGTGTGCACAGTAAAGAAACTATCAATCCAATTCGGTTCAGTTCGGTCAGGATGCTCATAATTTAATATTAATATTTTATTTTATTTTAGTTTTAAAAAGTCCAATTTTTGGTCTATATGGTTACTGTCTTTTCCTTTATCACTTTTTTTTTTCTTTCTTTTTGCTGAAAACGTGCTAGAGACTAGAGAGTAGGTTCATCAATAAACAGGAAAAAGATTCATTAATCTTCAACTTTCTAAATCAAAACCACTATTTGTGTCACTTTCTTTTAATAAAGTATACTTGCAAAGGTTGATCATTGTGTCCAAGTATGATTAAACAAAAGATAAATTTGACATCAACATCGTTGAATTAGGTTTTGAAGGCATACTACTCTTTTTTTTTCCTTTTTTTCATTTGTGATTTTCACGTTCAGATTATAGTAATATTCAGATAAAACTTTTAGATTTTAAATTTTAAATTGTTGATATTATAAGTAAATTTTAAGTAAAAATACATGTCATTTCACTGATTTAATTGCTCGTTTATTAAGATATATTGATCTTTTCATTTATGTAAAGAGTATAAAATTTTAAATTCAAATTTTATCAATTATCAATTCAATAATCTTATAATCTGTAAAGTTATTTTGATCCGTTAAACTTTTCATCGAATCGGTGAATTTTGAGTCAACAAACCGGTGAAGGAATAAGAGGGAGGAGGGAGAGAGGGGTCCTATCAAATTGTAAAGGTTGAAAGTGACAAGAAGGGAATAAGGCATTGCACCCAACACCGCACACATACCATTCATCATCACAGTAGAATAAGAAAGCGAAAGTTATTGTTACATTACAATTATAGCCTTATGCTACAAACTACAAAAGACACTCAGAAAGAGGGGGTGGGGGTCTTTTCTCCCCATCAAAAAAGGTTTCTTTCCTTCCTTTCTATCTCCCACCACTATTAAAAATACCAAATAAAATTTATATTTAATCATAAAAATAATAAATAAAATGTGTGTAGCTTGGTACGTATTCTCGTTAATAAAAGGAGTAAGAGATTTTGAGTTTTAATCATTTCAATCACAAAAATTTTTATTAATTTTATAAGTAAAAGGAATGACTATTATATTATATAGTTCATCGTATTATTTCGGCCATTAGATTTTTAAGAAATAAAAAAATAAAATCAATTTAAGGCTGCATTTTTCAATAATATCTAAAAGATATTTTGAGTTTTAGAATTATTTTCAACGATTAAGAATTCATAATAATAATTTAATTTATAGAACGGGAAAATACAAATATTGAAAATAATTAGTGTTATTCAAACGGTATAAAGATATTCACGAGAAAAATAATTAATAATTTTAAAAAATTATTTAGTATTTTTAATTTTTTATTATTAAAGACTAATACAATATTTTTTTTTTCAATAACACAACATATATGTTTTTTTTTTTTTTTTTTTTTTTTTTTTTTTTTTTTTTTTTTTTTTTTTTTTTTTTTTTGAAAGCGAGAAGGAGAGATGTAAAAAAAGGTGTTTGATTTGAAATGTTGTTTTGTTTTCTGCTAGCCTCTCTCCTTTGTTGGCTTTTGTAAAACCCTTTTCAGTTGCTTTTTCCCTAAATACCAAACAAGCAGTAGTCTCTTTAGACTTTAGATGTGACCCGCCTTTCTGTAAAATTAAAAATATATATTAGCCATTCCATTCCATATCGACAGTTGACTCGGTGAGTCAAATTTTATTATTTTTAATTAATGCCTACAATTTTTAATTATTTTCTTACTTTTCCGTTAAGTATTAGGAAAAATAACTATCTAATCCTCAAGCTTTATAATAATTTTAACTCCAACCCTACTATTTGGTAAATATACTGGTATTTTTTAAGATTTAATCATATTAAACTATTTTATTTTTTTTTATTGAAAAGTGTTCGTTTTTATATGAGTTTAACTCACCTAAAAGGCCGAGTCAACTCGGAGAGGGAATATTTCACAAATATGCCTTAAGAAGAGTGGAAAGGACTAATGGGTATGCGTGTACAGTATTATTTTGTCTAGAAGGAGAGTAAAATAGTAATATTGAAAAGGGTTAGTGGTGAAGTGTCGTTTTCAAATAAGAATACCTGCTGGGTGTTGTCCTCTCAATGGCCAAAGAGACATGGTGACATATATACATTCTCTGTTCCACCAGAATAATTAATAACCAAAAAACCTTTTTTTTTTTTTTTTTTTTTTTTTTTTTTTTTTTTTTTTTTTTTTTTTTTTTTTTTTTTTTTGTGGGATAAAAGGTGTAGAAAGGAAATTTCTGAAAGGGAAAGGAAAGGAAAGAATCTGGGAGTGGAAGATCTCTTTGGGTTCGGATGGAATCTTTTACAATTTCCTTTTTTTTTTTAAATTAAGAAAAGTTGTTTTCCCTGGAATTATTGTACATCATACATTAATTTGGTATAAATTGTCAATTAATATACCTTTAAAAAGAGGGTTCTGAAGCAAGTGTTGATTGTTAATTTAGGGTTAGAAACTAATCTCGTTTCGGGTATATAATTGTCCCTTTTTATAAATATTTTCTGTACATTTTTAACGGACGGGATTCTGGAATTATAAAAAATTTGTTTATTAAATTTAAATGTGTCTTATCATCCGAGCCACTCTTTTAAGTTTTATAATCAATACTCAAAATACTAATTTAATTTTTGAAATCCTTTAAAACCTGATATTCTTTTTAAATGGAAACGAGTCTTCATGTCTTTTAGCAATCTACTCCGAGAATTTTTCCATGGCTCTTTCATAATATCATAGGAATAGCTTATTCAAGATGGTGTAATAACTAGTTCTTTCTTATCTCTCTTTAAGATATATATAGCTCATTCAAGATGGTGTAATAACTAGTGTTCTTGTCTTATCTCTCTATATATATTGATCATAGTATATATATATATATTACTATATACCTATTATATCATACTATAGTAGTATTATGAATTTGCTGATTTTTAATCCTTAATATATGAATTGTGATTTTAATCCTTAAACAAAAAGAAAAAAAATAATGTGGAAACAAAAAGGAAATTAAGAGTGTGTTCATTACAGAAAACAGTTTTTTGTTTTTTATTTTCTATTTTCTAAGCAAACATATTTTTTTTTTTTAGAAAACAGAAAATGAAAAAATGCATTCACCCAGTAACAATAAAAAATTATATTTTAATTAAATGATGATTTTAGAGGAAAGCATTAATAAGGGAAAAAAAATACTTTGATTTATAAAGGACCAACAACAAAAGTACCAAATAATTTTCTAAATTAATTTAATTTGATTAGTGATCCTTTTTATATAGTTAATTACATGAAAAAACTAATTTTTTTTTAAAAAAAGTTTGATATTTATGGAAAAGATATTCAACTTTCTGCTCACTTGGAAGTTGAAAACTGCTTTTGCACCATTAATGAATAAGCTTTACAAATAAAGGGTGATATGGGATTTGACCTTCATTTTCTTTGTATATGGTCCATCCCATCTCTCCTAATGCGCATGAAAATGAATCCTATTCTCATTTTTTTTTTTTTTTTTTTTTTTTTTTACACTAATTTTAAAACATTTT